TATATAATTATATATAATATAATATATATAATTATATATATTTAATAAGTACCTACTATGTGCCAAGTAGTATTCAAGGGTCTGGGCATACAAAAGTGAGCAAAGTAGACAAGATCCTGTTCTCGTAGATCTTGTATTGGGGAAGGAGATGGACAATAAATTTTAAATAACTTATTTTTAATAAAAATAAATTAAAGGGCCAGGGATTTAGCTCAGTGGTTCCGGCGCCTGCCTCACAAGCGCAAGGTCCCAAGTTCGATCCCCGGTACCAAAAAACAAACAAACAAAAAATAAATTCAAATAGGTAAGGTAATGATGAGTGTTGAGAAGTTAATAAAAAAAATTTACAGTCTATTGTTATTCCTTCCTCAAAATAACCAAAACCCAACAGCATAATGTGTCTGTGTTGCTACCTCCCTTTCTCCCTCCTGCAATAGACCTGGGAGCATTAATGAAGGTGGCATGTCATTGGGCCTGGGTTTCTGAGTCCTTTCCCATGGCTCTATCATGTGGCTGTGAGGTGGCCTTATGTTTGGTTAAGCCTCTAAGATTTGGTGTTGTTTCTGAAGAAAAATCTAGGCCTTTCTTATTGATACAGCCCCCTTCCCAGAATTGCTCCTTTTGTAGGTGGAGCATGGGGAAACACCAGGGACAGGGAGCAGGGGCCCCTTCGGGCTGTTGGAGTGAAAATACTTGAGTCTAAATAAAATTAATCCTGAGTTTTGCTGCCTTTCAACAAAGGGTGAGTTCTGGAGGTCAGGGAATGGTGAATTTTGTCCCCAAAGCCTTTTCTTGGGAGAGGTAGTAGCCCCCAGGCCTGATAAAAGTTACCTATGAGGGGCAGGGATTTAGCTCAGTGGTTCCACTGCCTACCTTGCAAGCTCAAGGACCTGAGTTCAATCCCCCGTACTAAAAAAAAAAAAATTACCTATGCTCCCGACCTCCAGGTCCAATATGAACCCCTCTTGGTTCCTCTGCTGGAGACTCCCCATTTTCCACCTAGTGCCCAGGTAGTCCCTTTGCATCACAAACTGCTGATGTGGAGATTGTGAAGTGAGACAGGGCCTCCCTGCCCTGCCCCACAAATATAATTGTTATAAAAATTTATTTTAGAAACTAATTTTCTAGTTTATTGGGAAAATTGAAAGTGAAAGAATTGTGAAGAAAAAAAGTTTAAAAGTGAAAGGAGAATACTTGCCCTGCCACATAGCAAAACGGATTATCAATTTACAGCTGCTAAAATGATGTGCTACTGGTACAAGATTTGTGAAGCAAATCTATGCATCTATGGGGATTTGAAATGTTCTCTAACAATGATATTTCAAATTAGTTGGAGGAAAAGTAGGATTGTTAA